TGTCTGTCTGTCTCTGTGTGTGTGTGTGTGCGCGCGCGTGTCTGCGCTTGTGCTTGTCTGCGTGTGTGTCTGCGTATGTGCGTGTGTCTGCGCGTGTGTGCGTGTGTCTCTCTCTGTGTGTGTGTGTGTGTCTCTCTCTCTGTTTGTGTGTGTGTGTGTGTGTGTGTGTCTGTGCGTGTGTCTCTGTGTGTGTGTGTGTGTGTGTGTGTCTGCGCGTGTGTCTCTCTCTTTGTGTGTGTGTCTGTGTGTGTGTGCAGCTGATGGAGTCGGTGGCTCAGCTGCAGGTGGAGAGAGATCAGTACTCTGGACAGATTCAGGAGGAGGGACGCTTGTGGAAGGACAAAACAGAACAGCTTCTGTCTCAGGTAAACCTATTATATTGTAAAAAAAAATGGTTGCAAATTTTTTTTGTGTGTGATTATTAGTGCTGTCAATCAATTAAAATTTTTTTATGAATTAATCGCACATTTTTCTGAAATTAGTCGCGATTAATCCCACCTAACATTAAAGTTTTTAAATATTCTTTTATATTGCAATAATTTCACATTCAATCTTCAAATTAATGTACAAACAACATAAAGACAGTATATTTTTAAATATTTGTTCAGTGGCATCTTTTTTTATTATTGAAGGCCAGTATCAATGATACAAATACAGATTTCTCTATAAAATCGCCCCCCCCTCCTTATATTTAACCATTGATTAGCCATTCAGCATTACAGTATAATTGAGAGCTATCAATTTTAACATTTATTAGACTTTAAAAAATAACTTCTAATTTAAGTGAACTTAAAACAATGTTCACATAAACCCATTATAATAAATGTCATATTTACCTGTGCACTTCAGCAGAAACATACAGAAATTGAAATTGAAGATGTCAAACACTAAATTCTAAATTAAATACAAATGAATCCTTAAAGCTATAAAAGTTATTTTTTCCTTTTTTTTTTCTTTCTCTTTTTCCTTTGATTAATAGACATGACAGCAGCTGGTTATAAGGTTATTGTGGCTGTTATTTCTTTAAGAGCTGCCGCTGCTGAACATGACCCGGATCTTACAAGCATCATATTTCTCTCAACTGTTTTTACCTTTTCTGACCCACTTCAGGTCTTAAAGTCTCTATAATGAGCTGACGAGTTAAATCGGATGTGTTAGATGAGGGAGACAGTGCTGGGCTCCAGGACAGTTTTGAAAACCATTTCAGAGACATGTTCTTAAATGTGACTCATGTAAAATATATTGCATGCATGCACAGTTTTAAGGCAGCTTTACTCGCCTTTTTGGTAACTTCATGACTTAACTATGACCACGACATTGCATGCAGTTTATTACAGCGTGTGGCGGCGCCTTTGTGTGTGCAATTGAAGAGCACGCGCTGTGAGCACAGTACCGTTTGAAGTGAAGTGAATTTGAAGCGCTGAAGTGAAGTGGAGCGCGCGTCTGAAACGTCTCCCATTCTCAGTCGTTCTGCGACTGAATAAATGCACTTCTTGTCAAGAGAAAAAGTGACAGAAGCAGCAGTTGTGAGTGGGGTGGCCAACCCTAACCCCGCCCCTGTGTTAATTGCGTTAAATATTTTTAACGCATTAAATTGAAAACAATTAATCGCTTGCGTTAACGCGCTCATTTTGAATATTTTGGAATGTTTCGGAAAAAATTTATAATTCTAAAATGATTTTGTCGGGGAGTGAATTTGCATAGAAAACCACATTTATAAAAGCTGAACTTTTTTTGAGTGCAAACCATCCTTTTAGGGCTCAAATGTTTGGGAAAATTTTTTTTTTCTAATTTTTGAACCAGTATTGTTATAGTTAACTAAATCTAAAACCATAAAAAATAAATAAAAATTTTTTTTTAAATAAAAATGACCGCAAAATTAAAATTAAAGCAGAAAATATAAAAATAAAAACTAGTTCAGAATATCAATAATAACTTTTATAGTATCTCACTGATAAAAAAAACAACACTGATTTTAACGGTCATATGGTTAACATTTAACATCTCATATTGCTGCTGCTTAGACATCCAGACAGAAAAATGGCAAAAAATAGTTGCTTTTTTTTAAAGGCTTTCAAACTTGGGTTCACTCTTTACAACAACCAACTCAAACCTCTTTCAGCAACCATAAAATAAACTCTTTTATTTTTATTTGATTTTTACCAATTTGATATGGATTTAAAACAATAACAAAAATAATCATAATTATTATCTTTTTAATCATCATCTATTATTATTATTAAATTATTAAATAAAATTAGTATTACTTTTGTAATAATGTATTCTAAAAAAAATTTTGTATAATAATTTAATTTTACAGTGAAAATATGTAGTGTGTTTATCCTGAGTCTCTGTGTGTCTCTGTCTGTGTCTGTGTCTGTCTGTCTCTGTGTGTGTGTCTCTGTGTGTGTGTCTCTGTGTGTGTGTCTCTGTGTGTGTGTCTCTGTGTGTGTGTCTCTGTGTGTGTGTCTCTGTGTGTGTGTCTCTGTGTGTGTGTCTCTGTGTGTGTATGATTATCTTTTTAATCATTATCTATTATTATTATTAAAATATTAAATAAAATTAGTATTACTTTTGTAATAATGTATTCTAAAAAAAAATTTGTATAATAATTTAATTTTACAGTGCAAATATGTAGTGTGTTTATCCTGAGTCTCTGTGTGTCTGTGTGTGTGTCTGTGTCTGTCTGTGTGTGTCTGTCTGTGTCTGT